TTTTATTTGCACTCAAAAGCTAGATTTAGAATCGAATAAAGTATGGGAATCACAATTAGGTTCCAGTAGAAAACCTCCTTCATGGAAACAGTTTCATGATTTTTTATTTGCCCGAATGTCATCATTACAGTCCTTTGAGAGCTCTCAGCAAAAGCGAATTTTGCAATCAACAAAACAATTCTCAGCAAAGGTTCATCATCAAGGTAAATCAAACGAAAAAGGTGCCTGTATTTTGTGTAAAGAAAAGCATTTCATATCCTTTTGCCCTCGATACGCGTCGAAGACGATACAGCAAAAATTAACATTTATATCCACACACAAGCTTTGTTATAATTGCTTAGGATCTCATCGAGTTGCTCAATGTAGAGTCACTAAACGGTGCCAGAAGTGCGGTCGTAAACACCACACTTCAATTCATTCCAACGAATCTTCTAAATTAAAGGGAAAGGAGAATAATAATAATCATACAAAACAGGAATCCTCTTCAAAAACTTCGTCAAAACAGGATGCTAAAGTTTTGCATTCTCATCATGACGAGTCGATAGGATCGTCTATTCTTTTGGCTACTGCAAGAGTTTTGGTTATTTCTGCAACAGGGCAATCCAGAAAATTGAGAGCACTCGTAGATCAGGGTTCAGAAGCGGCAATTATTACAGAGAGAGTTGTTCAACAACTCAATTTACCTAGAGTTCATTCTTCAGTATCGTTAACAGGAATTGGTGCGAAAAATAACCAGACAAAAGGGACTACCTCATTTCTGCTCAAACCACATTTTTTGTCAGAATTTGAAGTTAAGATACAAGCTTACATTTTACCGAAATTAACTTCTTCGATGCCTTCTCTCTCACATAATAAGGATAAATGGGATCATTTGAAAAATCTAAAATTAGCTGATCCTGATTTTCATAAAAAGGGAAAAATTGACTTAATAATTGGTGCTGATATCTACAGTCGAATTATAAAAGACGGAATCATTAGAGGAGAACCTGACACTCCTATCGCTCAAGCCACAAGGCTAGGTTGGATTGTTTCCGGGGTGACAAGTCCTAGCACAACCAATCCTAGAGTTCAAGGTTATCATGTGTCCATCACTGATGACATTCACAACCTGCTTAAACGGTTTTGGGAAACTGAAGAAATTTCGATTAATGCTAAGACGTTAACTAAAGACGAACAAGACTGTGAAGACCATTTCAAAGCTACTCATTCTCGGGACGCTACCGGGAGATACATTGTAAAACTTCCTTTTAAAGATGCACCAGATAAACTTGGAAATTCAAAATCAAAAGCTATTCGAGTAATGACTAACTTACGTCACAGATTTTCTAGTAATGAATCTCACGCTAAATTGTACGAGCATTTCATTAAAGAATATGAAGATTTAAATCACATGAAAAGGGTACAAAATTCACAAGATGAACCGGATAAAGTTAATTATCTGCCGCATCACGGAGTTTACCGGGAACAATCTCTTAGTACAAAGTTAAGAGTAGTCTTTAACGCTTCAAGTAAAACTACGACTGGGTACTCTATCAATGAACTCCTCCATCCGGGAGCAAAATTACAAGTTAATTTGTTTAACGTTCTTACATGGTTTAGATCATTTCGATACGTTTTCTTTGCTGACATCGAGAAGATGTACAGACAAATACGGATACATCCCGATGACTGGAATTATCAAAGAATTGTTTGGATAGATCATCTAGGAATAATTATTATATTTATTCTGTTAACCGTAACGTATGGGTTTATATGTGCACCGTTCTTAGCTTTACGATCATTCGAACAATTGATCCTCGACGAAGGACATAAATTTCCTCTCGCTCTTCCAACTATGAAAAATGGAAGGTATGTTGACGATTTTTTCGGAGGAGAGGACACTATTCAGCAAACATGTAAGGTTGTCGAGCAGGTGGATAGGCTTTGTATGGCGGGCGGCTTCCCTTTGAAAAAATGGGTTAGCAATGAACAATCGGTTCTTCGTTCCATTCCATCAGAAAATAGAATTGATACATCATCTGTCCAAATAGATGAATCCTCCATGATACATACACTTGGCCTATCATGGAATCCTTTAATCGATCAATTTAAATTCAC